GAATCCTGAACCTCTAGACAATACATTTCACCTGTCGCACGTAGAGCTCGGCCTCCCCAGACACAAAATGCTAAAGGATTGCACAGCAGGTATGCAGAGGTAAAGGCCTGAGAACACCTGCTCAACCAACGCGGGCCCCTTGGTGTCCGCCTGGAAGCCTTGCGTTCTGGCTACAGTAAGGTTGCGCAGTGCAAGCCGTGGTGAGGTCGGGGAGCTTGGGGAGCCAGACCTCAAGTTATGTCGTAAGAACCTCAGCAACGCTCGTGCAATATCATATCCACAAATGCGAATTTGGAATCACATCTGCTGTCAAACGATTTCCTGAAGGTTTGGGGGTTTGAGGCTTCGAGAGGAATGCTACCAGAGCACAAGCAACACCACTGGCCGGCTTTTCGTCTTTGCCTGCACAAATGTGCCACAAAGTTTCCAATCTTCATATAACAGTTTCCCATAAGAAATGCAGTTAGCCCAAGTAAGTTAAATAGATCGGGGATTTTGGAGGTGTAGTTGTAGCCTACACCCTATACTTACAGAACGTCCGACGACTCCCTTGGCTCATGGCCGTCCAGGAGGGCAAGCAGATCTTCCCGGGGGCTCGGGACATCCTGAGACGATGTCTAGGAGTTCAGGATGTGGTTTAGGATTCAGCGTTCAGAGTTTGGATGTTGGGATTTCCGAAGATGGAATATCCCCAGAGAAGGGATTGTAATGGGCTTTGAGGGTCCCTTTCGGTGATTCCGTATTTTGAAAAACTCACATGCCAGGCTTGGTTCTGAAGGTTTTCTGGCAATAATTATGTGGAGATTTGGGGTTTAGGTTTCAGTGTCTGAGGAATACTGTAGGGGGTTGGGTAGGAGTTTGGAGTAGCTGGTGCGGGGTTTAGGCTTTCGGCTTCGGGAGAGTTTGAACAGCACCGAGAGTCACACAGGCAATAGGTGGCCCTTGCACTGAAGACCACAGCCCGGCCTGCAAGGCTCGTGGAACTATGTACAACAGAAGGAAGCTCTGAAGCAACAGATGGCGCCTAAATCCTGAAATGTAGAACTTAAACCACTAAGGTCACTAAGGGGCACGCTTTATGATCCGGATGGGATTGTCCGGATTGTAGTGCGTGCGTGGTTTTGGGAAGGATAGATAGGGTTTCTCTTTAATGAGTCACAGAGTTTTTGTAACTTCCAGATCAGCCACCCGGAGTCGTCCGCTAAAGCCAAACGTAGATGGCCTAATTAAGAGAATTGAGTGGGCTACAGACACAACGCAATAATTTTCCGAGGGGATGACGCCAAACCTTGAACACTAGTGCTGCCGGCTTCATGTTAGGCTTCGGGGTTCGTGGGTCCGCAAGGTTCAGAGTTGGCAGGTATGGTACTGGCTGGTCATCACATCAACATGTGGTTCCCTGCACAGGGCTGCTTCTCACAGGTTCTCGTTGCATGTGGAGATGGCGACTGTGCGTTTCAATGGGCACCTCGCCACTAAATCGCCTGGGAGAAGACTTAACACGAAGCTGTAACAATTCAATCCGCGTCCCAGAGGCAGGCTGTCGAGGCTGCACGCACTTTCACGAATGGCTGTTGAAGCCTCCAAACGATGCCATTGAAGCCAACGATGCCATTGAAGCCTGCCGCGCGGCTGTCACAGGCCAGCGCCCAACTTGGCTAGAATGACGACCTTTCGGATAAACTGCCCACGCTAACTTTGAGCTCGCAAAGCGCTTGCGGAAGCTTGCATCGAGCAGTGGATCGCAAAGGAAACTTCAGCAATGTCTGCACATATTCCTCTTTGAAACCAACCAGCCAAATAACACGCTTCAAGCTTAAAGTTTGGAATTTGGGGTTCAGGGATGGGGCACTTCCCGAAAGAAGATCGGCATGTTGTTGAATGGTGTGCCAGCCTGAGAATCCCGTGATCAATGGGAGAAGCTACGTGGACATTCCAACGTCACTCTGTGACTCCTTGTTGTGTCTTGTGTTTAGAAAGCACGTTGGAATACAGGCCCCTCATTTTTGGTGACAGCAAGCGTTTTTGGGGGGTGCTTCTGAAGGTTGAAAGCATAAACCACAAGCTCACATGTTGATTCTTCCTGTCGTTGTGTTTTGTGGTATCTTCACTGTCACAATCTTCACTGTCACGAGCTTACCCTAGAACATCTTCTCAATGTACACGAGAAGTCTCAAGGCCAAAAGGACATACACGTAAGCATGTTGGGTGAAACAAGCGTGGCACCTGAACTCGTGGCCATCGATTTCAACTAATCCCAACCATGAGATCATCTGGGGCGGGCAGTGACTTACTTCTTGCTTGCCACCTCAGCAGGATAGAGGGACCCTGGCAATGATTGGAACAGGCCTTCTTTTCGGTGCGTTGGTGTGGCAAAGTAGGACAGAGGACTGTATGCGAACATGATCTACCCCGCTTCATGGTACTGATCCAGGGCCCTGCAAAAAGTAATCGATAACTTCTTCAGCAAAGAGTTTAGCAAGCTGCCAAGTACGGGGCCCATGCACCCATGTTACAAGGAAGCCATGGAAGCCCACTGTGCCCAGCAGATACGACTGCAATGGAAAGCCCAAACTCCAATTTGGTCCCTCATAACTACTTTTTTCAGCGTCAGATGAAGCTGGGGAAAGTCTTGAGCAAATTGTGAGGTTAAGATATTAGCCATTAACTATTAACCATCAAAGTTGGAGTCCTGCTCCGGCTTGGCGCTCATGTCGAACTCGCTCTCGAAAGGCGAGATCTTCTTCACCTGGAGCGGCAAGTGAGTTCTACGAAAGGGAACCAAAATGCGACCCTCTTGAAGGTCCTGTACCAGGGAACTTGGTTGCCCAACTGTCTTCTATAGGTCTTCTTCAATGAAGTAGGCAGCGGCTTCTGCCAAAGGGATAGTCTTGCTGTAGGAGCTTGATTTCCAAAGTTTGGGCACTGATGGCATGTGGAGCTGTTGTGGAAGTGACCAACTAGCAGAGTTTGGGGTTCAAGGGTTACGCAATTACATACCTGCGCGACAGCGTTGAACCTTCTACGGAAGTTCTATACAGGAGAGAGCGTTGCAAGTAAAGTCGAGGTGCTGCAAGCCATGACCTATAGCGGGAAAGACACGAATCGAGCTGAAGCTCCCAGAGTTCCAGGCCTGAACCCCTCAGCGCCAAACCTCTCAACGAGCAACACGACTTACGCGCCGTACAAGTCTTCAAAAAGCAGCGCCATGAACCTGGCCGCTAAACTCTAAGCGCCATGAACCTGGCCCCTAAACTCTAAGCCCCTACACCCCTGAGCCCGTCCATGCACTTATACACGCTCACATCCTGAAAGCAGTACAGTTAAGCCCCCCAAAGAACCAAACCCTAAATACCAAACCCTGGCCCCTTCAAAGCCTGAATGGCAAGCCACCAAACATGATTCTCCGAAGCAGAATGCAACCCACAGCCTTGGAGGGATCCTTTAGCTCCAGCCTGAACAGTTTCAAGTTTGTGCCGCTGTCGTTTTTCTTTTTCTTGTTGCTGCCATTTTTGCTGGCTGCGGCTGCGGCTGCGGCTGCGGCTGCGGCTGCGGCTGCTGCTGCTGCTGCTGCTGCTGCTGCTGCGGCTGCTGCTGCTGCTGCTGCTGCTGTTGCAGTTGCTGCCACTGTTGTTGCAGGCGCGGCGGCCGGTGCTGGTTCTGGTGGTGCTAATGCTTGCGCCTTTGTGTCGGGAGATTTGAGCTTTTAGGGCTTTGGTTTCCGGGCTTAGGGCTGTGGGGTTTGGAGCTCTGCGGCTAAGGTGTAGATATTGAATGGTTCATGGGGCCGCGGATGGGTTTCAGGATGCGAGGTGAAGGGTTTGCGGGGCAGAGAGATTGACTTTGGCTTCGGGCCTTTGTGTCTTGAGCTTCGTGAATTCCCATGCTTTATTGGGATCTATGAGTTTGTCTGCTGCCCTGTTTCAAAAGTCAGGCCACCCAGCCAATGCCATCACATGAAGCCATGCAGAAATACATTTGCTGTCTATAGGGGAGATGGAGGGCCCTAACCAGCTTGGACATCTGAACCACTGTGGTTTCCCATGGCATAGAGTAAAGTGGATGGTGCAATATTTGCCTCATCCATGGTAGCAACAAACTCCAATCCGATTTAACATGGACCAACAGTCAAAGGAACCAGACAGGTGCAACACATTTGCATCCTAATATTTTAGGACAGGAAACCCTGAAACCTAGAGCTTATAGACACTGAACCCCAACCCTGGAACCTCGATGCAGCCAAGCAGCTTGGCCAGTAGCTCACCAGCAGACACAATGCTGCCCGGACTCAGCGTGTGGGAGACCTGGTATTTAAGGTTCAGGTACAAGGCTTTTAGGGCTTGCTGTTTAGGACTTGTACAGTAGGCAGTTGGAGGTTGAGGGGCTTATGCGGTGCGGACAAGTCCTTATGGGCGAGGTTGTGGGGATTGAGTCTTGGGCTTTGGGGAGATTAAAGTTGGGAGGGGGTGCAATACGGCATGTGCATCTTAAATGAAGGAAAGAGCTCAGCTAATCAGCTCAAGAGTATGGTCCCAATATAATTATATCCCTCAATCCCCGAGGGCCTCTCCTTTTCAGAAACCCCCACTTCACATCATTTCCAAGAGACTTTTAATCATTGCTACGCGGCACCATGGCCGACCCCGAATTCTCAAACCGTGGCAAGGCCATACCACTGAAACGCATGATAAGGCCGGTGCCAAAATAGTTAGGCCATTAGTCCCCAAGACCACGCATTACCCCTGAACCCGTCTGTCGCTGCGCTACATCTTGGAGCTCCGACGCCCTCAGCTTCAGGGTTTAGAGCTTCGGAACATCACGCAATTACTACAGTAGGCCGAACCCTGACGTCCCGTTGTGGTTTCTTCTTGCCGCCCTGCTTGCAAGTGACAAAGAATTCAGGAGTTAGTCACTCGAAAACTTTGAAAAACTGAAGTAACTGCCTACAGGTGTCTGATTTGGGGCCTCATGATTCGACACAAGCTGCCCAAAACGCGCGCCTTGCCAGCCTCGCTGGACTTCAGGGCCTTGGAAATCATCGAGTCAGGAAAATTTTCAGTTCAGGGTTAGTGCTTATCGGACTTAGGGAGCTGGAATTGCAGGATCTCTGCTCAAGCGTTAGTTAGGACGCTGAACAAGAAGTTTGGACATGCGGTGTATCCAGCGTACAGCAAGCATCAAAAGTCTGCCGCCCACACTGACCGAGCTGCAGGTCATCACAATCTATACGCCCTACACCAAAAAACTTGGGACCATTTTGTCTCAGGGTGCATGGTCCCTTCCAACAAGTGGTGGGACTTGCACGGAAACCTGTTTCTTCGCCTTCGGAAGGGCTTTGCACAACATTTTTTATGCAGGATGATAACAACTGTGCCATTTCCCGTAGGTTAAGAGTAACACTGGACGAAGTTGAGACCATTGATGCATTTCACTGCCCCCAGTGGGCTCTGCGCTATACAGTATTGAAACAACTTTATACATTATCATGTGCAGGGGATGTCTTGCAGTTCACGATGCGAAGATGCTGCCCAAAAAACTGCCGATCATGGCTATAGGTGATGTTGATATGTACAAGGCTAATGCGGGCTGAATCCTTAACCGTGCGGTGACACTGAAGTTCGCTGTGATGGTGGTTAACCTGTCTGAACTGATGGGGTCATGGTTCTGCTGCGGCGAAAGGCCTGGGCAGGGTCGGGGTCTTTTCGTGTAAAAAAGGTGTAGGGTTTAGGGCAGATGTCTGTCTGGGTGGCGGAATTTGAGTGCACTGCAACTCTGCAACCCTTGGGAAATGCAAGAGGATGTGCGCATGACAAGCCCTGAACCCAGAGCCAACGGGCTACACTTCTTGATTCTGCTCCGTCAGAACCTTTCACTGTCATTCATGCTCTACCCAGAAATCTGCGCCCAAGAACTCTAAGTCGCAACCCTAAAGTAAAACCTGAACCATCCAATCCTGGAACCGGAGTCTTAATCCCACTTTATCACAACCCCACCGCAGAGGACAAAAAGGAAACATGAAAACAAAACTGAACTCTGACACTTCAAATTCACCAGACCGTACAGATTCCCGAGAAATATGGAATTCCGCCCACGTTGTCCTTCAAAAACAACCAAAAAGCTATTCCTCTTGAAGCCCCATACGTGTATAGGGTCCAACAGATACCCTTAGAGTCCTGAACCCTAAATCCCCAACCCTAAGTCCCTAGATCCCCTTTTTGGCAGAACCCCATCTGTGTGATGGGCCATGATCATCTTCATGGCCTCAAGCTCGATGTATGCTTCGCCTTGTTTGTTTCTGTCAAGAGGTTTCGGTCGACCTCTCGGCCATCATTTCGTGTATTTGGCAGAGGTCTATGTAGGGCTTTCGGATTTCAGGCTCCTAGGGATATTGAAGGAGAGTCACTGTCAATTAACATTGAACATGCCATTTTGGGAACGCTAGATGCGGCTTCAAAAAAAGGTTCCCTTTCAGAAGCCCCAATGGCGTGTATACAGTATTTGTGGGGCTTGTGGGGCATACAAGTGGGACCCCATCTTTGCAAATACTGACCGACATGAATTACAACTCATGAATCTTGCGTATGACATGGTATGAACTATTCGAAATTCTACGGGTTGGCTGTTCGCATCGCTCGAAGATGTCCCCCTTCCGTCCCAAGCCCTGTCCTAGAGCACCAGGCTGGCCACAACTCGCGTGGCTAGCAAAAATCAGACAATCATGGCACATGCTACACACGACAACCCGATGCTGGGTGTACGGTGCTTGGCGACATATGTATAATACATATATATATAATTATATATATATATATGTATATGTGGGTGGGCCGACCTCCTCTCCAGGCCACAGCTGAATGCCCAAGAAAGGCACTTCACTTTAGCCGCGCAAACTCATGCAGTCCGCTGTGAGCACCCCGAAAATGGTAATTTTATGACATAATTCCCTTGCACCATCTTTAGCACAAACCTCAATCAGAGCCAAGAGTCTGAAATCAGACCGCAGTCGTTTGTTCAGCACGAAGTCTATTGGGCCGCCCGAATGCAAACATCCTATAATTTCAGCCCAAGAAGAGTTAGCAGGTATATACAGGTACAAGCACACACTGTCGCTGCAGGGAACCCGATATGTTGTAATGTAGCTTCTGACTCCTGCTTCATCCACAAGAAAAGCAATGGATAAGAAAAAACAAGAATACTGTGTGAAGAATTCCAAACATGATCACATGTGGGGCCAGCCTACATGGAAAATCGCATCGAAGAATTATTGACGCACGCTGTTCTTAATCTAACGAAAGGCCAGTTACGACTCAAAAAGATACGACTCAATTGCAAGCCCCATATCCTCATCAACCAAAGCCCTGAACCCAAGACTCACACCCCTAGACCTTATGCCTGTATCAGAGCTGGTGGACCCTTCTGAATCTCAGTGCCCTCGTCGTGCAAGTAGCGCACCACCTGCTGCTTGCGATGTTTCTCAAGACGATTCAGGGGCGAGGGCTTTCTTGAAACAGGGGTCTCCCCACCCCTAGAGAGCCCACACAGGTGTTGCCCAAAGCAGGAGCATGTAAAAAGAACATCGAGGCATTCATTCATGAGTCCCTATGAATGAACAGCTTCACCAAGTTCTGAAACTGTCATCTCAAAAGAAGCAGGCATTCCGATTTTACACGTACCCCAAAAAGTGGAATCCTCATTGTGCGGAACCTCCATAACCCCGCAGAATTTTCAACGCAGAGTCTCCATGCGCGAGCTCCGCAATCCTCTATGCAACATTTCGATTTCACCCCACTATGCACCGCTGATGTTGGGCGCCTTTCCATTCACATCTGACCGAAGCTCAGACGGGTCGTAGACAGTCGGCACCATGATTGTCTGAGCACCTGTGAAGTGATTGCTAGGGCTTCGAAATTGCGCTAGGGGTCCAAGTGACTGGATGTGTCTAGGAGTCCATTTGATTGAGACTTTGCCGATCTTTGCCGGGGCTACTGCTCTCAAAGTGAGGACACACATGTAGACAAGAACCCAGATATGGGAACCAGTACCATATATGTTTACGAAGCCGCCTCCATGTACATACAGGGGTGCACCAAGCTTGTGAAGATCTGGATTTCCCAGTTACGCAGTCAGCCCAGAGCTCACAAGTCACAAGCAAGAACATTCGGATGGAGGGAGGTTGGTATCCCAGAAAGCTAAATGAGGCTGCTGCGTACCGAGCCCTTGAAAGCTGTCAGGAAGCATGGAAGCATGTGCCCTGCGAGCTCAAAAGACGCAAGTCCAAGGGCCACGTCTCACGGCGCACGGCCTGGACATTGCTGACAAAATTTACAAGTACTAAATAGGAAAATCTGCTCCCCCATCGAAGAAGGACTTGAGTCCTCCAATCCCTCAATTCCTTCAATCCTAGACGTCACAAACTACCAAACATATTAGCCCTAGAAACGCACCTTTCGCGGAACAAGGGAGTCCCCAAACACTGCACAGCACAATAGACCCCGACTCAAAATCTTCAAGCTCCCAAAAGTCCACCTAGCAACTTGACTACTCGAAAACTGTGCTTGTATATCCCTTGTATAAACATTTTCGTATAACTATCGTACTATATACCCCACACCCTCTTCTATTGTTTAGGCCCCGAAAATCACCCCGAACGAGACAGCCTGGACACCCTTCAGTCCCAAGTAGGCACTCATCCCCAAAAAGTGGGCATACAGGCCGCTATACTTGATCTAGGCAATCTGCTTGGTGATCTAGCAGCTACTTCTCATCTCCCAATACGTACCTGGAGCCCTGGGAGATCCACAAAACAATTTGTGTTCGTATTTAGACCTTCGACCAACTTCTAGATGTAGAAGATGGGCTTCACGCGAGTCAACTTTGAAGGAAGGCAGATAATTCTTAAATCATCGGCGATTTCCCGAGTCCAAAGTTTGAGTTCGTAAGTCAATAACCCTTGAAATTACTCCTCAAACCGTAACTAATTCTCAACCCTAAAACCTCGTAACCCCCCAATAACCCTAAACGCAACGCTTCAGACCTGAAAACCTGTACCCCAATCCGCAAGTCCTCAGCCGCTGACCCTGAACCCCAAGCCCTAAACCCTAAACCTACACTCCCCAGCTCAGCTCAGCACCAATGATCAATCGCAGACCCAGAGCCTCCTCCTGGCCCTTGACCTGCTGGCTGATGTTACCTGAGAGACAGTCAGTCCTGTACTTTCGAAGGGCCCCCAAGTTACTAAATGTGATGCAGGGTTCTTTAGGGGCCTTTGGAGGCCTTTCGGTTGAGGCTTGGAGGGTGTCGAGCTTCCAGACTTGGAGTTTGAGGCTTTGGTTTTTTGAGGATTTAGGGTTCCTGTGCTTCAGTTTGAGGACCGCGTGTCTAGGGATTGCAGATCGCCTTTCAGGAGTGCTCATTTTCCAGTGGATGGTGAAGGGGACTGTGGAGCTTACAGAAATTCATGCACAGAGGATTCAGAATGATTGTTATAGATACCGTGCATACGCATGGCTGAAGTCCATTTGCAGGAGCCTTCCCTGGGCCTAAGACAGGAGGGTTTAGCATTGACGAGTAGCCCATAAATCTCCACACCCTATCAGCCCTATAAACCATGTAAGCACTATGCACCTGCAAGCCCTGTAAGGTTGAAGGCCTCAGACCCCTAAACCTCAACGCCTATGCCAAACCCTAAACCCCAGACCCGCACTGAAACTCGGGTAGCCGGCCTGTGCTCACATAAAGCGAGCCGTCAGGCTGTTCGCGCACCTGCTGAGTTCGGGGTGTACGGTTTAGAGCTCAGAACTTAGGGTTCACGGCCTGGTTCTGAGGTTTAATTGAAAGGTTAAGGGCTTACAAATGCCAGGAATTAGACTTTACAGGGATTACCTACGCATCTAAACAAATTCGCCTCGGCCTCTCCCCAACAGGCGTCTGGAACAAGCTGACAAAGGATCCAACCTCCTCCCCCTCTCCCTGGCTTGTCCCCCACCACAAGATTTCGTGTCTCACCCCCGTCCCATGCCAGGCCGCCAAGGGCCATCCAGGCTGAGGCTGCATGACTCAGGGCTTGAGATATTGGAGGGGTGAGGGCTTATACGGCTGAGAGGTTACATGGAACCCACAGCTACTACAATGCCACATTTTTTAGGAGCTAAAACAGCAAGCGCTCCTGGTTTTGGGCTTGCGGCTAAGCTTGGGGGCTAGGTTCGGGCCGTGCGGTTTAACAGCTTGGGAGTGTAGGTCTTCATAATGCTTAGGATCCTACTATGCGACAATGGCACTTACTGGATCCATCTAGGCATACACAATACTTCATACCATGTTCGCAGCAACACAAGACGTGTTTGCATGCTGGCCACACGTTTACTGGTACGTCCTACCTAAGACCAGTTCTGGTTCCCACAGAAATCCATGCTGATCCACCCCCGAGGGAGGGTGGCGCTGGAGGATCAGTACAGTGACGGACCTGAGCAACGTTGCAGCTTCGATTGCAGCTGCATTCCCCACAGTCGCGTGCATGGCAGCCGGAAGCGCACAGCTTCCAAGCGATCCTGAAGCAGTAGAACCTTCATCCACAGCTTGTCGCCGCCAGCAGTCCCCTTGAGTACGGGAATGTCCGCTCGCGAGAAATGTCATTCACAGACCTTGCTACACTCCATGCTACACTCCATGCTCAACCTCCCAAAATGAAAACTCCATAGATTCAGACTCAATGTAGCTTCCAACCCCATTACGCAGTTGTTTTCAAAAGTCTGCGGTCATTCAAAGAACGACGTGCCACTCCCGTCTTCAAATTTCTGAGATCGTGGGCCATGCAGGCCAGAGGCTATAGACAGTAAACACCAACTCACAAGCATCCTTGATGATAGAACGAGGCATGACTGTTCCCGCGTTCAAGATACTGTGGGGCTCAAGGATGTACAGGTTGAGTACGTGAACCTTCAGCATACTAAATGTGAGTTAGCATCACTCTCATCAATTTGGGCTTTGTCCATCTGCTCGCTCCCTTTTTTGAATCCCTTTTTTCAACCCCCAGAAGGAGCGCTCAGCAAACAGGCGGAGGATTTTGAACACCTCTCCGCATCCATTTGGGTTCTGCTAAATGCATGGGCACCTGCGGATTGCATTTACCCATGTGTCTCCCCGCCTTTGTGGTGAGGGTCTTGTTGTTGATGGTAAAGGAATACATGTCGGATCGCTTCCTGTGGTTGAGGGCGGAAGGTTTAAGTCATGCAGGTTCCGGGGTTGGGTGAATTTGCCCACAACAATCAAACCATCCCCTCATGGAAAAGCACGCTCTTCACGTACCTAATAATCGGTATTCCAGGAAAAGACATCTAGAAAGAAGGATGTTTCGCTGTCAATGGGTGGGGTGAGGGGCTAGTCATCAAAGGGACTGGACAAACTACAATTCAAGGTGAGCTCGTTTGAGGATACAGCTCCTGGCTCGCTGCTAGCAGGAAGTAAGGGCATGGACTCCTACAAAAATGAATTTTTTTTCCTCAGTATCCCTCCCTTCCTACCAAGAGAGCAATCAATATTTCCCAGCCAGTTAATGGACATTGGTTCGTACTGGGTATTAGGGACCATGCTAAGGTACCAAAGGGACCGCTATGTCTACCCTTAGTGGCCCTTGCTGAAGGTTTAGGGTGCAGATATCAGGTTTTGGGCTATAAGGTTTCTCAACATGAGGGTACCCTTTGTAGCGGCACTGAGTATATGTCGAGATTCTAAGCGGAAGCTGTGAGCATAGCAGCTGTGAGGCAGCATCCCTCCCGTAAGGCATATATTTGGGTCCATACGCCATACGTCTCTCACCCCATGTACCTGCATGCCACCGGTCAAGCCCCGATATCATGGGTGAAGTGCGTCAGCGGCTCACCTTTGAATCCAGCATGCTGCCCCAGACTCAAGACCAAAGACTGTGTAAAACGTGCCTCCTGTTAAACAAGGAAAGAATCTTCGCAGCAATGTAATAACACTTTCCTTCCCTCTGCTCAACACTTCCAGCCGAAGCTAGTTTTTAAAGTCTTCATTGCCTGCTCCCTAAACCTTCGCCAAAAACTGAACCTTCGAACTTGGCAAAGATCAAAGGCTTATTGCACAAGGTTTTGTGGGCAAATCAGGACAAATACGGTCTTCAATCAAGCGCAATTTCACATATCAGCGTAGACGCAGATTTGGTCGTTCTGCAATTGTTTGAGAATGTCGTCCCACGAGGTCCAGGACAAACAATGCCACCAATCATGCTTCCGTCTTCGCATGATTTGATTGGTGAAGTCATATACTTCGTCCAGTAGGCTTCCAGGAATATTGCAGATACGGAAGGTTCCAGAAATTGCAGATTTTATGGCACGGTCATGCCGTCCATCGATTAGAATCGCCGCGCTCCTCCTGCGTACGAGGGATGGTTCCCTACCGGCACTAACGAACTCTCCGGACTAAATAAACATGAGACTTGGACTGTCGGAGCTTTGTCACAATGTTTTGCCAGGGCCAAGCGTGATACTGCTGATGGAGGAAGTCTTGCAGTTTCCGATAACCTCCCCATGCTATGACAACGCCTGAAATTCAACGCACTGTGGGTAGTGGGGAATGTATACCCTAAAACTCGGAGCCCCGAATACAAGCCGCGCAGATATAAATCGGCTCTTCCACCAAATATTGTGACTCCCAATCGTAGCCTGGAAATATTGGTGGTTGTTATTTGACATTACGATGTGGTTAATACCAGGGGAATGGAGTAGCTCTCCATATAACTAATTACCAGAGTGCGGCGGTCACAGATCGATTGCTTGGTCATTGCTGTTTGGGTTCTGTTATGTGTGCTTCTGCCACGAATATTGTCCCGAACCCCCAACCCTGCATGCCGCACTTACCACATTCATCCTAGCGGACATTTATTCTTCGGATGGGGACCCTCTTCAAGAGAGATCCACGCTTTTGAGACCGACCTTGGCCCAGAATCCAAAACCCAAAGCCCTACATCCAATACATTGAAACCCCATATCCTAAATCCGAAATCCAAAGCAGTCAGCAAGCTGACCCAAAGATGGCGCCTGGAGACCTGGAAGGAGAACTTCTTTTCATCGTAGGTGATCTCCACAGGGAAGCTCACCTAAGGAGCGCTCTTACTTCGCAGGTTTAGGGCTTGGGGTTTTGGGTTTAAGTCTCAGGCTTTCCCTACATTAGACTTCGGGAATAGGAGCTTTGGGAAGTGCCTTGCTGGCTTTGTACTCTTCTGTTCAGCTTGGCGAAAAATCTTTTGACACGCTATAGACTGCTGCAGCACCTGATTCCGCCCCAAGCTTGCGCGATTTAGGGCTTAGGGTTAACAAGTTTGTGAATTTTCCGCTTCCCTGCGACGAGGGGAGTTCGGGGTTTGGAAGTCTGTGGTTCATTGAGGTCGGCGTGGACGCCAGCAAGAATACAACCGAACCCCTGAAGGAACATAGCTGCAAGTGTATCGCGCCAAACTAAGAGCCATGAACATATCATTGTGGTGTAGCTAATTTCGTAGCACAGGGTCAAGTGCATATCCGGTGTCGGAACAGTATGCCGTGGAGGGCGATCCACAACAAACACCCAGACAGTGCTGAACAGCTGAAATGTGAGGCCCTGTCGTAGGCCTCCTAGTGGATTCCCCAAGACTGTTGAATGTGGTATCTGAGGCGGCTGGCCAGGGCATCCGTGTCACCTGGAAGTGGTCCACAAGAGATCTCAAACCGACCGACAATTTTTCTTGGAGCGAGTGTAGGGCTCAGGAGCCGGATGTAGAAGCATTTCGTGGCTTGCGGGGTGACCGATTGGGGTTTGTGAGAAGGTTTATGCTCAGTGCTTACTAAGCCGAAGGCGCCGGCCTTTAGGAGGGCTCTCGAGGCTACAAAATGATGTGTTACCCAAAGATTTCGCAAGAATCGCAGTTTTCCTTGCGACGCCCAAGCTCTTTGGGACAGCGGGCAAGAATAGACCCCTGACAGTTCCAGATCCTAAGGCGCAAGCCTCACTCCTATAACCCCATATATACGACCCCCCCATAAGCGCCCTGTCAACGAAATCATGCACTAATACTGGAAGGCGTAAAGTTGGGCTAGGTTGGGTGCATTTTCCACCAAGTGCCCTGCTTGGGGCCCAAATTCATGGATTCAGTCAGGGTTTGTGGGGTGCAGGCCTTAGAGTTACTGGGTCTTAGGATGTATTGTGCATGGGGTTTAGGGTTGTGGTCTTTGGTCACAAAAGCTGTCCTGGGATAAATATTTGGGGGGCCTGGAGTATAGCAGTCAGAAATCAGGGGCATTGCCTCAAAGAATGAGAAAAATGCAATCCGTTGCACCAAGCATGTGTGTCAACCGTGTAGTGTCGTTGGGCTCAGGGTCTACATAGAGCTCCAACAGACCACCCAAAAGCGGCCCAACAAAATTGAAACACCCGGATAAGAACCTGCTGCGATGTACAACTGTTAAGTCTGCGGCGTCTGAAGCTATTCACACCCTCCACAAAAGTGTTTTCCCATCCAGGCCCCCAGCAATCTACGCACGATTTCCATGTATCTTAATCCGTATATAACATATAGAAACACAAACCACTTCAGGGTTTAGGGTTGAAAGCCGTCCGAAACCTTAAACCCCAAACCCCTGAAAAGCTTCTTCAAGCTCAGCGAGACAGTAGCCAGGGCTTTGTCCAGGGCAGCGAACGCTTGACTAGGTCATTGTTGGCTGTAGTTGTTTACGGTAAAACCGCGAAAGCTCAAAGTTGTTAACGGATCATAGTGAGGAGGGTACTTCCCCATCATCTCCAACACTGCCATGTTCAGGGTTGCAGAAGCGATTGGGCTCATAAAGTGCTTCAACAGTTTCCGCACATGCAACCCAACTTCTCTTATTCAGGTTTGATAGATGATAGCACGTGTGCTGATAGGCTTAGATGGGCAAAGGCTCATCCAACTTGTTCGTAAATTGTGTTGGTGGTGGCTTGAGAGTGTGATCCTGTATACATATATATATATAAATATCTGTGGGCCATGAATAGCAACTAATACGCTAGCGCCAACTCCTCCTCGTAGGTTTTCCAGCAAGGAGCTTGTCTGACGCAAGGCAATGCTGTTCCCTCCTGAACTCCGGAACTCTGCTTCCCCAAACCCTGCTTGCATTGTACATCCTCTGGCAGATTCATGATAAGCCCACCCGGCGCTCAACAGGAAACGTGCCGGCATCGCTCTTTCCCAGCAAGACCAGCTGACCCTTCTGCATGGAGGTAATGGCATCCTTGCGAGCTAGGAATTACCGGTTCTGAAGCCGAAGTTTTGGGGATCACAAAAAGGCTTGACGAGGCCGAGGCTCGACTTGCACAACCCCAGAACATGCTTTAAACAGATCCAAATACAGATACACACACAGACTGACGTACTGCATGAATACTTGTCGCATTGCTCAGCAGGAGTCAATTTCATCCTACATCTGAGATGCAGATGTAGCATGCCCTGTACCTTGCTTAACTTGTCTGATATTCTTCGTTGCTGAAACACCTGCATTTGCAAAGAACCTCTTAGGGTTCCGTATTAGGAGACATTGTCTGCAACCCAAAAACATAATCACTCACTGAAATCAGGAAAATCCACACCTGATAGCCTATGCCGCCAGATCTGTACTGTAAGCCATCCTAAGCCAACCCTGAAAACCGAAATACGTTGCAACCTACAACACCAAACCCAAACCTCTCTAGAACCAATATAAAGGCCTGGACTTCATTGGGAGAACTTGATGTTGAGTGCACTTGACAAGCTCTTATTCCGTCAAAATTCCCTGTCAATGCTAATTTATAGTATATGTTCTGAAAAGGGATGAATTAAGGGCTTCAGAAGGCCGTGGTGCCCTTTGCACTGAAGCACAATGTTTTCTTGCTGGCATCTCTTCTTGCAGCACCCCACCATAAACTATGAACACGTGCGAGCTAGTAGCAGTCCTGCAAAACCCACCAAGACATTCCATCACGGTCTCGTATTACATGTTCCGACTGAAGTCCTAAACATAACAGCAAGAAGTCGGCTCGATGGCCTGGTTCGACCAAGAACTACAGTGGAGGGAACAGGCAAACCTCGTAAACGTCACTGTGCACCTCTAGTCTCGGGTGTGTGGCTTCCATTCCACATGCAAGGAATGATGTCGGGAGGCTAACAAGAAATGCCCATGCAGTCGCCAACCAGCCTGTCCATCCTACTGTCAGAGCAACGCACAACATGTAGGATGACTAAGACTAGCTTGCATGCTTCAGCTTGCCGCGTCAGCCTTGATCTCCGAAGCCAAGATACCCGTGGAGCATTGTCATGACTCCTAATTATCAATGACCATGTCGAATTCCCTTAGACACTCCCGAGGCAGCTTTGCTGGAAAAATGACGCAGCCAAATCTGGTGAAATGCGGTTTGTAAACTAGGGTTGCCATGAACAAGATACAAGACAAAATCTGTCCTGCGTGCGCGTCTTCACCATGGTGAAAGCACGGTAGACCGCCGCATAGAAGACGACCTTTTGCGGGGGCAAAGGCGCATGGCTTGAAGTTTCTGGAGCAGGGTGGAGATGATGGCAGCCTATCACGCAGTTCTGCCAGGAAGCGGGCTCAAAGGGCCAATTGGAAACCGTTGCAGGCCTCAAACTCACTCGTTTCGTCCGTTGCTACTTCCTACTACTTACACGCTTCTTGTTTCGATAGGCTGGCTTCTAAATGGGAGGCTTGTGCAGCGTACACGAAGCTCACAGCAGGCAATGTCTAGGAAGCTGACGAACCCAAAGAAGCAATTGCCTGCCCAAGGACGTCAGCTAGCGACGGATGACACTAGGCAGTCTGCTGAAAGGTATCGAAAGACTTTGCATGTGCATGGCTTCAAAGCAGGCACGCAAAAGGAACATCGAAAAGACCTCACTCAGAAGCTTAGGCCACTCAACACCATCACGTTTCTGGCCCATCACTTAGCGGGTTAAGGAATGGCTCCCGGGACCAGCCTTGGAACAAGGCAATGCGAAAAATCATTAAGCTTGAAGATTCAGCCGCTTTGGCTGATCAAGGATGTAGATACGTAGGCTGACTCCCGTATAGGCCGGCATAGCCTTGCGAGTCAAAAGACGGAGAGGCTAATTGCTTGAAACCTCAGCATGACAGCCTAAAAGTCAAACACAGGCAAGCACTCTAAGCTGCAGCCTGCGCCCAGCCTAAGTCCAACTCCAGCCTGCGCTCCAGTCACCCTAAACCTTAAACTTAAATCATTGCAACCGGGATTCTTCAGCCCTGCTACACACACCTCAGGCCCATAACCGTAGAACATTAAAAGCCTGGGCCCTAAGCCCATAGTCTTTAGGAGACATGCGCCCCAAATCTTAGATCCTGAAACGTCGCCATGTGACGTCCATGACGCCCGTGCTGGGGGCGATCGCCTTGCTGGCGATAATCCTGACCACAGTGCGGGGACAACAGCTACACTCAACACTTCTCACGTGTCCTGTCTCTCAACATCGTGGCATGCTGCTTCGCCGTTGCTGCATGATTCAAAGCTCGTGTCAATACCTCTTCCTAGTGCTGGTGCAGGGTTTAACCTGGGCCGTCCGTATCATGTTACAGTGTTTGGACACGTTGCGAAGACGTAAGCCGTCCACATTGCCCTTCAGCTTATGCATCATGTTGCTTGTCCGAATTGCTTTGTCCCACGGGCTGTCCTAGTTTCACTGCCTGCACCAACACTCCAAACTTAATGAGACAATCGATGCGATGGCATTGACACTGGCTCACCCTCAGGGCTCGATACCTCATGCTATATGCTCTGGGCCCAAACGGTTCCAGATATAGATGCCTCGGGGCTGAAGTGTGTCCTGATTTCGGGGGGGAGGGGGGGCATTCACTGTTGATGGATAGTGTGACATCCTGCGCTGCCCGGAGTATGCCAACTGCTGAGCATGCTAACCCAGGCATCAGGGAATACCAAACCCTATAGCCTATACCCTGAACTTAAATATCCATACTCTAAGCTCTGAACTAAATCCATACTCTAAGCTCTTGCGTAAACCCAAACGTCAAAGCCCAAAACTTCAAACCTTACCAATCAACTCATGCGAGAACATCCCACACGCAACCTTCGAAACCTCAAGGCCCTCCTGGCGTCTAAACGCTTCGCCTACCCTGCTGGGATTCGGACCCATCCAGCCACATAGTGTCAATGGTGTTTTCCTTGAAGCGGATAAGCTGAAGCTTCAGGTTTAGGGCTTTAAGTGCTACCAGGCCTGCAAGCGTCTTCATTAATGAGCAGAATGTTTCAAGATTCTGGGATCCTCCAGAGCCCTGCCTACGGATCTCGTGTTGTAAGCAGGTGCAAAAACAAACACACAACCCGGAACACAACCAACGGGAAGCTCTGTCGCACTACATAGAATGTTACCTGCAGCCATCCACTTTCAAAATGCTTAGTCCACCTGCTGCTCATAACCTAAGGGCATCAATTGTCGAGGAACCAGCCAGGGGTCTGAAGTGAGACGCAGCTTGGGTTTGTTCGTCTATTGAACAGCATTTCTTGTTGAGGATGGTGCGGTCCCACGTATGGCAAAGTTTAGCAGAATGCATTCCTTCTCCGTGTCCTCACAAAAGTGTTGCCAAAACGTCAGCCCCTTAATGTAAAACATCAACATGCGAACTGAGTTTCAGGGGCTTTCAGCAAGTCCTTGCGCTAACCAAGTGGTGTTCTTCATACTTTAAACTCCCAAAATCGGCACACGACGGATGATGCCAACACCAACTACGAAGAGGTAGTTCCCCTGCTTGAAGCTCGAACCCTGTAGCAATATGGCTCTACAAGCGCTGCGTCTGCTCTGTCAGTCCTTGTATGCCTTCGTCTCCAACAGGTCAACCAAGTAGTCCACCTCAGTCGAGCTGAGATCTGATGCCGATGCGTGTTATTCTGTTCTATGCTGTAATGTTCACCTCATATTAATAAACCTCCCCGTAACTGCAAAATCAAAAGCCCAGAACATAATTACAACCCCCCCCCCC